AGTGTGGGGAAAGGGCATTCGGAAGAACCTGTAAACATTTTTTGAATTCGGCGGAGCGATGCAGGATAATGCGCTGGAAGACTCGGGTTCGAATCCCAGTGAGGGTATTTTTTGAATTAGCTTCTCCCTTTTGTACGTGACTTGTGTAGTTCTGTATCTTTATCCTCTCAGTGTCTTCTTTTGGAGGTTACCCCATGCCTCAAAGGGCAGCTAAAGCTCAAAGCAAACAGTCAGCAGAGGAGGCTGTCGCATCCTATGGGAAATGGAGCCCCTTCGACTCTCCTCGATACGTACAATATAATGCCCCTGTAGATGCCTGGGGTGCCAGATTACTCAACGATAGTGTTAAACCACATATTGACTCATTCAATCTATTTGTAATATAACGGCTGGTATAATATGATCCAAAAGGGGGGATCTCTGACAGCAGTAATGTTGTTTCTTTTATTAGGCGAATGAGATTCTCGGCCTCATGCCCGATGACCTTTCTCCAGCTGAAATGACTTGGCATGATGGGACTACAGTACGGTGTTGGTTATCTGACTTAGCCTTGCATCAGCCTATCCGAGGCGAAGATGTCATTGATCCTCGCTTGCTCCCCACACATTGTCGTCAAGCTCACATTACGTATTCTGGGGAGCTCTCTGGAACCGTCAACGTATCCCTTGGGACAGGAGAGCCGCCGGTTCAAATGGCCGGAGTGCCCCTTGGTTTGGTGCCAATCATGGTCCGCTCCGAGGCCTGTCACCTTCACGGTATGACTCCATCTCAAATGGTTCGATGCGGGGAGGATCCGGATGAGAGGGGAGGCTATTTCATCGTAAATGGTAACGAGAAGGTCATACGTCTGTTAATCATGCCCAAGAGTAACTTTCCGATCGCCTTATATAGGCCAAGCTTCTCCAATAGAGGTAGTAAAGAGGGAGAAGGGAACTGCGGGGACCAGCGTGAGGGAATTGCTAGCACAGGTCCACTGTACTCGGCCTATGCCGTACAAATGCGTTCGATGAGACCTGATCTCACCACACAGACGGTGACCATGCATTATCGAAAGGATGGTACATGTTGGGTGAGCAGCAGCTCTCTTCCTGAAGAGCCTGTCCGGGACCATACCTGTTTAGGTGAGATTTACCTATCTTAAGAATGAGTACTTGATACCACTGATGCTCCTTCTTAAGTGTTTCGCCCCGGATGAGCTGAACTCTGAACGAAGCTTATTCGAGGTAGTCCAGCTGCATCTAACTTGGAAATATCTTTATTATTTAGCTCCTCTGCGATGGGTTGATGGCTGATACGTTCGTTGCCGAGCGTGTGACATGTATGTTGGAGCAGATGAGGACTCATCCGGAGCTCAAACACGTTCACTCCCGAGAGGATGCTCTATACTATCTCGGCTCCAAGTTTGAAGTGGTTTTCCGTGAAAAGCGTGGTGCAGGGGTAGGATAGTATCCTGGGCAGAAGCGGCTTACGCCGGTGTACCTATTAGGTATCTCTGGACGGCATTGCCCTCGAGGTTGACGATGCTTCGATGAATCCTGTGGAAAAGTCGGTATCAGTTGCCCGACGTCTATTGGATTCCCTCATGCTGGTTCATTGTCCCAAGGGTGCCGAGGGCGGCAAAGCCAAGGTACTAGCTGTTGGCCGGTAGCCGGGATGTAGGCATTGTTGCTGCACAGGTCGACTGCCTTGTCCTGATGTTCCGCAAGTTGATGGCATTGGTCCGTGGGGACATCGCTCCAGATAACGCGGATGCTATGGATGTCCAAGAACTGCTTCTTCCTGGTCAGCTGTACGGCGCCTTGCTCAAGGAGGTCCTCCAATCCTCACTGCTACGACTTGAAGGTGCCTTGTCTAAGAAGTCTAGGCAGGCTCTGGTTGGAAAGGGTCGAGCCCCTACGGTTCTATCGGCTGAGTTGATACGCAATACCTTTATGGGCGTCTGTGACGTGACCAAACGTATGGAAAGTTTCCTGGCCACTGGCAATGTTACTTCCCGAAGTGGCCTCGATCTTCAGCAAACCACCGGTTTCACTGTTGTCGCCGATAAGCTCAACGCCTACCGTTACCTCTCCCATTTCCGAGCGGTTCACAGAGGATCATTCTTCCAAGAAATGAAGACTACATCAGTCCGTAAACTTCTACCTGAGACTTGGGGGTTCCTGTGCCCGGTGCACACGCCTGATGGGACACCGTGCGGTCTGTTGAATCATCTAGCAGCACCGTGTCAGCCAGTGGTTCGCGTGGCCTCTCCTGAGGGAATCATTCCTGGTTTGGAGGCCGAGCTGGCTGCCTTGGGCGTGCAGCTGGTCCGCAGCAGTAAGACATCAACCTCGAACTTCGGTGCTGGAGAGAACGCTTATGTCACCCTCGATGGTCGCGTTATCGGCAAGGTGGCACGAAGTCGCCTGGAGGCCGTAGCAGAGGAGCTGAGAAGGTTGAAGATAGACAAGGCCTGCCCTGGAGTGCCGGCGGATCTCGAGATCGTCGCATGCCAGATTCCGGCATCTTTCGAGGGTCTCTGGCTCTTCACTGGGCCATGCAGGATGGTCCGCCCAGTCCGTGATCTTGCCTCTGGTAACGAGGAGCTCATTGGTCCCATGGAGCAGGTGTTCATGAAGATAGCCGTCACCCGCGAGGATTTGGAAGCTTCCAATAACACTAGTGACATTCCCGAGAACATCCCACTGAAGTACACTCATATGGAGTTGAGCCCGATATCGATGCTCTCGGTCATTGCTGGTCTCACGCCCTTCTCCAATCATAATCAGAGTCCCCGTAATATGTACCAATGTCAGATGCTTAAACAGACCATGGCTATACCGTACTTGAACCATCCTTATAGAACTGATAATAAGGTAATAAGAGGAGGAGGAGAGGCTAGACGTGTCCTTTACTACTAAATCTCAGGTGTATAAGATTACCTACCCGCAGTTCCCGATGGTCCGAACCACGGTCTTGAGCGATGCTAACTTCGATGTGAAGCCAGCCGGCACCAACGCCATTGTAGCGGTGATTGCCCATTCTGGGTTCGACATGGAGGACGCTCTGATCATCTCCAAGGGGAGCTATGATAGAGGTTTCAAGCATGGATCTGTGTACAAGACAAAGGTCATTAACTGTCCGCCTAAGGGGACAGTGGGCTCTAGACTTACGCAGTTCCGGGCGGACAATCACAGTGTGAAGGGAGAGAAGGTTGTGAAGGATCTCGACTATGACGGAATACCGTATATTGGTCAACAAGTGCACGAAGGTGATCCCATCTGCCGAGTGCTGAATAAGGGCACTGGTGAGGCCAAAATGGAGAAGTATAAGGAAGGGGAGGTTGCCTGGGTGGAGCAAGTTAACATGATTGGCGGTGGCGGTTGGTGGGGTGGAGGAGCCGGTGCTAGGAATCCTGGAGGCATCAAAGACGGTGCTGAGAGGATGTCAATTAAGCTCAGATTGCCGAGGTAGCGTTTGCCGAGTTCCGAAGGGGGACTATCTTTCCTATCAGAAACCCTGTCGTCGGTGATAAGTTCTCATCTCGTCACGGACAGAAGGGTGTCATGGCCATCCTCTGGCCCCAGGCTGATATGCCCTTCAGCGGTGAGTTCTCACTCTACCCGATCCACGCTAAGACCGCAGTGTTCTTTTTCAGGCCGGTCTGGTATCTCTCCCGATATCATGTTCAATCCCCATGGAATGCCTAGTCGAATGACAATTGGTAATGATAAGGCTTGTATCGGGTTGTGGTGTATACCTTAGTTTAGGTATGCTTATCGAGTTCATGGCTGGAAAGGCGGCAGCACTGACTGGCACTCCTGTGGTCAATGCCAACAGTTTCCGTCAATATCGCGGGAAGGGTCTACTGGACACCGAACATAACAACGAGAAGGATCCCTATGCACCTGGTGACACCACTGCACATGAGTACTTCGGCGAGACCTTGAAGAAGTGAGCTCAATGTTCTCCTATTAGTGTATAGCTTTTGTAAGGTTCGGTTATGAGTATCTTGGAGCGGAGGAGTTGTATTCTGGCATGCACGGTGTACCTTTGAAGACCCACATCTATATGGGTGTTGTTTACTATCAGAGGTTGAGGCATATGGTAAGGCTCCTGTTTCATAGCAACTGTGAGAAATGTTTTGGTATTAGGTTCTCGATAAGTTCCAGGTGCGCGCTACTGGTCCGATTGATCCTCTCACTCGGCAACCAGTGAAGGGCCGTAAGAAGCACGGTGGTGTTCGTTTTGGAGAGATGGAACGTGATTCCCTTATCTCCCACGGAACCTCCGCCCTTCTTGCTGATCGACTTCTCAAGTGTTCTGATGCTTGTGAGGATTGGGTTTGCCCCGACTGTGGATCGATCCTTTCCTACGCCCACTCGCCCGAAACTGTCAAACGCTACAGTGGCAGAGAAGCCGCTGCTCAAGCCCCGATCTGCAGAGCATGCTCGACTGAGAGGGTATGTTGTTGATTTCACTATAACTGCTGCATTTCGATGAGTTGTTTTCAGGGTGTTGAGGTTCGCTGTGCCGCCGTCACTCTCCCTTACGTATTCCGGTATATGTCTGCCGAGTTTGCGAGTATGAACATTCGCCTGAGATTGAGAGTCCAAGAAGACTACTAGACAGCTTTGAGATGATGATGTACAGCACTGACAAGGTTGCTGTCATCGGTACCATAAAACGGAAGAGTACGTCCGTTATGCGTACTAAAACGTCGAGTCACGATATTCCTATTGTATTCATCATAATCACCGTAAATCTACTGATGGCATCACGATTCCTGCTACGTTTTACCAACGCCCTCATCAGAGAATCTATCGTTACTGTGACGTCTGGTTTCGGTGGGCTTTTAAAGTCATGTTGGGTTGTTAAAGTAGCAACATGACCTATTGGGGGAGGTTTCAGGTAAGAGGCATTGCATGCAATGGGGTAGTTGTCAACAATGGGGAATGATATACAAGATGGGGACAGGCCGTCGGTGAGTTGCACAAGTGGAGAGAAGGCTTACGAAATAGTTCCGATGCGGGGACTCGAACCCCGGTCGCGTGGGTGAGAGCCACGAATCCTAACCAACTAGACTACATCGGAAGGTGATAGGATGGTTACTAGGCACGCTAGAACAGTATGACTACTGAATTACCATTGCCCTCTAAATATCACTCACCACTTTGACACAAGACATAAAAGGGTTAGATTTATTTTGCAGTGTCACTAACATAAATTTAACGTAACCCGCCTCGAGTAAGCTGAACCAGCTCATTTTTCGCCAGGCAACGACCTCGATATCTCTGAACCACCAATCACCAATCCGCGCCAAATGCCTTAGGCGCAGCATCGAGCTGTTTGTCAATGTCGCCTGGATGTCGCACTGGACGCTGAAATCATCTCGACGTATCTTCTGGCCAGTAGCCTTTTTATGAGCGCTTTCCACGCTATCTTAGCGAGTCGCTCATCTTTCAACCGCTGTGCCTCCTCACGAGTTCTGGTATCCTCCTCCAAGCTGTCTCTCAGAACACTTGCGTCAGCCATCGCGACGACCTGAATCATGAGCTCGTATTCGACATACCAACGATTTTTTAGAAATAAATCAAGTTAGAATCCACCAGCCTACCACTCCCCCGATTTGCGGTCTTTGTGCCATCCATCCAGTATGGGCGGGAGCCCAATGTTCAACCCCAATCTCCTTGCATTTCCGTATGACCCTCCGCAAGGGTATGCCTACGACGAACTCAGTTCCTTCTGGAGGGCGTCTGCCATCGGTGAGGTCAACAAAGCCGAACCGGTTGACTGGAATCTCTCCGTCGGCTCCAAGGTGTCTCTCAGGCGCTTCTTCAGTCTGCTCTTCAGAGTACAGTTTCACTAATTTTCGTTTAGTCTCGAGTGTTCGCTTACAGCTCCCTGCATCAGATCTCAGAACCATGCCCCGCCGCTCCCACTGTGACTCAGTCCTCAATCGTTCGACATCTTCCCGTAAATATATAGGGTCCCGGCCAGAGAAAACACCAACTGGCCTAGCAGCCTCCTTCAAGTGGTCGAACTTCGTCAACTGCGAGTCCAATATGTAGGTAGTGCTATTTCTAAAGCCCTCAATACTTCTGGGGAGCTTGCCATCGTCCGGGCCAGGGGAAATCCGCAGCCACTTGAGTATTTTGGCTCGCCGGAGACTACCGTACTTAACAGTGGCATCAAAAAAGTCGCCGATCTTCCTTTTGCCTATCACCACGCCAAGAGTTCTCGATTTCCCTGGTGGAAGGCCAACCGCCTTCCCAGAACCAATTTCTAGCCAAGGCATCGGATACCCAGTAGCTGCGAACAAGGTTGCTCCGCCCTCTATTGCAGCGCAAGTCGCTGCCAGAGCCCCAATGTAGGTGGACACTCCTCCATCGCTGAGGAGCAGCTCGTCGGCAATAGATTCCGATGTTGGCAGGGGCTCGAGGCTCAAGTCCAGTTGGGAGGGGTCCGCAGCTATCCAGTACGGAGGCCAAGGCACCATAGTGAAAGGTGCCTGTGATGGCAGCGGCACGTCCATCTCTCTCATGCGGTCATTGACGGCACGCTTGATGAGGTCGGAATCGAAACATAAGTGTGTGAGGTCCTCAAATGCGCTGAACCAGGCCATGATCTCCCTCCGTGAAACTGGGCGGGCATTTCTCCTTCTCTTTCGCCCCCGCTGAGGTGGTAGAGTTATGTGCACCTCCTGGCCGGTTTGTATGGTCGTGGCCGCCGTGATCGATGCTGTCTCGTTATCTGATGGTGAGGCCCAGTCGACGTCAGCGTACTCTGATCCATCTGAGCTGGAATCTGACTCGGACACCGATGGCTGGCCATCCATTATAACAACTGCGTCTTCAATAAAAGGAGCTGCCGTTCTCGCTTCGATATGACTCGCAGATTGTTGAACAATTCGGGTAAGCCAATAGCAGTATTTACACTTTCACACCAACTCAACATCTACAATCCTCTAACTTTGAAAAGCTGAAACATTACGCGGAGAAGGTCGGTCATGGCATGAACTCCTTATAGAGTTAAAGGCTAGAGGAGGCGGCGGGTGGTCAAGTCCTCGATGGATCGGCACGAGGACCACGTCTATCCAGTATGGTAGAGCAAAGGCTTCCGTGACCATGTGATGTAAAGGCGACAGTGCTTTGTCACTGCCGGTAATAGCCTTCAGCGCATCCATGCAGCCAATATGATCCCGGGTTGACGCTATCAGAGCGAACGAGGAGGCCTGAAGAAGAGCCTTTTGGTAAATAGGGAGAAGCTTTCTGCAACTTACTGCCGCTTTTAATTTGTTCATTTCCATCGCTTCTATCACATGATTGATTGCTCTCAGGTCTCTCAGCTCAGCTCCCCTCAGCAACGGCCAGGTCCCAAGCAGGCCGGTGATCGCTTGATACTTGCAGGCTTCACTCAAACTCTCTAGGCCCTTCCTTCGGGCAAGTAGCTTCACTGATGCCAGCAACAGTTGAGGAGACCTCGCCAGCCCAGCCGACATCATCGACATCGTCAAGGATGAGTCGGCCACTTTAGGCAGCAGCCAATCGGTGGCCGAGTGACTCGAGAGGATCTCTAGCTTGGCAGCTGCAAGATATATCTTAGCTATGTTGTCGGGCTCCTTGCCGTCTTTCAAAGCCTCGGCCATCAACTGTGACATTACTGATTTCACATCTTCCCCAGAAGGATCCATCAGCGCCTTTGCAATCGAATTGGTGATAAGTGCCGCCCAGTCAGGCCGGATGCGTCCCGTGGCCTTTTTGTTCCCCAACAAGTCGACTACTCGTTGGAGTAAACCCGGCATGAAGTGTGACAGGTGAGGAACCTCCAGTGACCCTTTACAGCGAACAAAGGCGGCCATTAACATCGCGACATCCCTCAGAGATAGGCGGCTTGCTAAGGTGTCACGCGCCACGAAAATACAGACTTGCTCGAATGCCGGCTGCCAAGTTTCGTTATGTCCAAAGACTTCCAGGAGGTTGTATACCTCACCGAGCTGCAGATTGGCGAGGAGAGTATCACCATCGCTCGCAACGGCACGCGCCGCAAAATTGACGTATTCTTCCACAGCTTTCCTGTGCAGCTTTTCCTTTGACGTCCACAGTGATTGGGATAGCAGAGGTGGGAACTGACGATAGACTGTCGGACCCTGCTCGATTTGCCAGCGGAGGAGGTCCTCCAAGAAGTGGTCCGAATAGACCCCGAAAGACACCATCGCGCCGGACACATCGAGCGGGCCGAGGCGCTGCGCACGCAAAAGAGAGAAGGCCGAGTCCATGGTTGAGGAGGGGACGGACCTCTTCTGGGCTGTGGTGAGGCCTTTGAAACAGTGAAGGATGTCCCGAGGGGAAACGGCCGACGAAGTGCTTCGAGAACTCAGCAAACGCTCAAGTTTAATTAGACCAACTGTCGAGCTGGAGGCTCTGGAGTGGGTGCAGGACAACCGGTGCATGCTTGAGTAAAAAGCTGTACAGTGACGTGGCTAGGGATTATAACGCAAGGCCGAAAGAAAATGAAATCGATTCAAAATTAGCTCATCACCATCATCAGCTGGCGGTGTTCTTGTACACCCAGCCGAGGATGGAGACATCTTCAGATATCTGGAACTCACGCAAATGTAACAGAGAAGACTTTCAAACTCATATTGCGCAGGTCTACTCAGATGCACCGCCGGCGAACGGGTTACCCTTCGGTCCATCTGCGGCGCCTTGCTCCCACGGTTGTTTCTTGCCAGAACCGAACACTGGCGAGTCAGCTTTCCTGGGCTGAGGAGGGGTGTAAGGTGCTGGTTCATTCAGACCTGGACTGCCCGACCGTCTCTCGGCGTAGGAGGGATCCTCAGCTGAACAAGAGCACCGTAATACCAAACCAGTGAAAGTTCCTTCGTCACTCCAAGCCCGCTATATATGCTTACCACGAATAGCATTGTTGCCTTGTCGAGGAGCTGACCCATCCTCCAGTGCCGCTGCTGCTTCATCACTAACAAGCGGCCTCTGCATAGACGACGACGCAGGGCCCGCCTGATGGTACTCATCCTCGTTGGAGTGATGACGCCCGTTGGTGTTGTGGGAATTGCGTAAGTGATGCAGGTTTTGGCCGGTGAAGAAGGCAAGTGTTTGAACCAAGTACAGCAGGGCGATGACGAAGCCGAGCTGAAAGGGCAGCGCTGGTGGGTGGATTCATAAGCTCATCATTCTTACTATTCCTAACCACATTGCTATTGACTCGAAGGTCTCTGAGTATCGATGGCCACCTATAACGTAACCACTGATTATGGCGTATCTAGTAAGGGGCTTCAATGTGAGCTATTAAGTATCTTGTGCACTCACAGGAACAGTCTGAGGCTGTCGTGTTTGAACTGCTGCCATGCTGTAAGCCCTTCACGAGCTTTGAAAGTCCGGAGGGTCCTGATCGATCCCACAGTAAGCTCACAGCTACTCTCACACTGACCTACTCGAAGGTGCTGTAGGCCCCCAATGCAACTAATAATATCCCTTCGCAAATGTTGTGTATTTTAACCAGTATATCGGCATCTCTCGGGGTCGTCGATTTCCCCGTCTTTGGATACACCAGATAGACACCCAAGACGGTGACGCCTATCCAGAATACAATGGCGAGAACGCGGGAGGTCAGACTCAGCTTCTCCATAGGCCCGCCGTTTCTAGAAGATTCGTGGCTGGGCATTTTCTTATGAGATCTATATATTAATACAAGTCAACTGCTCGACAGACGCTCGTGACTCTCCTCCCCAAAGCCGTGGTATAAGGCAAGTCTCTCGTTCGTGTAAGGGAAAATAACAAGTATCACTGTGGCACGATCGAAGAAGGTGAATAGCAGTAGGCAAGGTAGTAGCAAATGAATGGTCATATGAAAAAGTATATCTGTTTTACTGTTTAGGTGTTTTGTGTTTTCAGCTCATCACAACTCATCAGCCGCGTGTCGGTTCCCAGCGCCAACTTTGCCTTCAGCGAAGAAGTTGCCTATAGGCTCGAAGCCCATGTCCTCAACCAAGTTAGCAGTATGCACCTGCTCAAACGTCTCAGTCGCATCTCTGCCGCATCCGCCTTCTATAGCAGACGATCCTCCGGGATGCT